GAACAACCCCCCCACCCACCGGCGCTTTCCAGGGCAGCTGGTGACCAGTGTGCGTGCCTGAGTTCTGCCGGTTACCCAGGGCCCTCGGCGGCCGAACCACAGTCAAGCCACCCCGAACCCTCACATCCGGGCTGCTGCAGGTCGACAGGCAGGCAGGCAGCGGGAAGCCAGGCTCTGACCGCCCCGCAGGCCTCCCCAGTGCTGAGCACGGCCCCCCGGCCTTCCAGCAGCTGGGAGCCCGCCCCGTGCTGCCTTCGCCGCTAAAGGAGGCGCAGGTGTGGGAGGCCGTGCGCCGGGCGTGGGCCGGGCTGGAGGCAGAAATCAGGTGCGGGGCACGGGCCTCCTGGGTTGAGTGTCTTGACCCCCTCCTGACGCACTTAGTAGCCTCCACACCCCATACCCTGGATGGGAATAGGATCATTGGCCATGTACTGGGCTGACTGCTTAGGAAATGTTAGCTCTTCCAGTGGTTGCTAGTAAACCCTCGTGGTCGGTACCAGAAAGTGAGCATTTGAGGTGGGCCTGGGGGGTCCTGCCGGCACCCATGCCTCACTCAGCCTGAACCCCTTGGGTGCGGGGGCACGGTCTACTTCCAGCCTCCCGCGGGACTGTCTCCCCCTTTGAGGCTGCTGGAAACCAGCTTGGCCGAAGCAGGGTTCCCACAAGAGGGATGAGCTTTTCAGGGGTTGCATCCAGGTGGCATTTAATAAATACTCCTGGACGAGGAAGCTGTCCATCACCCCACTGGACCGAGCTTGCTCATGGACACCAGTGAAAGCCAGCCAACCTGTTGGAGGAAAGGGACAGTGTTGGCATTCGGGAGAGGTCTGTAGCTGGGGACTTAGTGGCCGCGTCCACCATGGGTGGGGGGAGGAGTCTCCCGCGCAGCCTGTCCCAATCCACCGCCTCAGCTCTGGGCCACCACGTGTCCCCGTCGTGCTACCACTGCATGTGAAGCAGGCCTCAGAGCTTTCCAGCCTGGGGGGTTTGTTTTTGATTTTGTTTTCCTGCCTGAAGAATGCTCTCTGGACTCCTCCCAAAAGCCTCAGGACCACAGCAGGAACCGAAGCGAAAATAGCCCACCGGTGGGAAGTCTATAAGGACCTATTCCACCTCTTGAAGGAGCACGGGCTTCCCAGATGCTCCTGCCCTCACATCCCCGTCCCCCTACCCCCCACCGCCCAGTTGGGAAGAGAGGGCCAGGGGCTGTCAGAGGGGAGGGCAGGCCTGGGCTTTGGGGGACAGTCCCCTCCTGAGCCCTACCCATGGGCTGTGCGTTCTCCGGAGCTGAGCCTGGCTCCGGGGCATGGGGTGCGGGGCCGAGCAGGATGACAATACCGCACATGTGCGTGGGGCCTGGTACTTTTCCAAGGGTTTTAAATGCATTATCTTGTTGAAGGCTCATTTGAGGCAAGGACTCAGAAGCAGCCTGGAAAACAACTGATTTACTGAATCCCGAGTGGAGAGGAAGCCCAATGCAACGTGTGTGCATGTGTGTTTGCTGAATCTCAAACCAAAACAACCTTTTGTTAAAGAACAAACAAATAAACAAAAATGCTGAACACCAATTCACCAGGGAATACAGTCTGAACAGAGGTTCTGGGCAGAGAATCACGCAGCAAATCCAAATTCAACAAACATGTACTGGGGGAGGGGTTGCTGGGGCCACAGATGTGCTCGGGAGGGGCCCGCCCAAGAGCTTTTAGGGGGCAGTGTGCACTGGGGACCAGGTTGACCTGGCTAGGCAGACTGCAAACACGGGGCCCTCAGGAGGGGCTGCAGAGAGGGGGCCGGGGAGGGAGCCCCTGCACAGGGCAAGAAGAAGGGGTGCATTTGGGGCATCGGGCCGTGCTGAGCCTGGGGGGGACGCTGCATTGCCTATGGGGGCGCACTGGAGGTTTCCTGGGGGGACTACAGGCCCCATTCAGAGCAGCACTGGAGTAATTCATCTGGGGCAGTGGCGGAGGGGGGATGGGGGTTTCTGAAACGACTGAATGGTCAGCATTCCCTGAATGGAAATGATTTCATCCAGTTTGAATTGCTTCTTTGAAATAAGTCCATTCCCCCGATTTTGGGGGGCACAGAAATGGGAAGTGACAGCTGGACATGCGTGTCAGAGTTCGGGGGTCAGGCAGGTTCTTGCGACCCAGGCCGGACAGGAGGTGCGGTTGCTTGATCGGCCACCCCTCACCTGCGCCAAGCGGAGACCGGGGGGCTGTGGGGACCTTGGCCACATGGGGCCCTCACAGCCCCAGGCCCACATTCTGTGTGTTCACAAGGCCACGCTGAAGGCCTGCAGTTTCTCCCTGCTCGAGACTGACTTCGGGAGCCCGCTGTGGAGGGAGCGGGGCGTGAAATCCTCCCTCTCATCTGGGCTTCCTGGCGGGGTCCTGTCGGCCTCTCCCAGCCCAGAGCCCTGGGCTCAGCAGACCTTTCAGGTCCTGCTCACCCTGCTCCCCAGAACTGCCCTGGGAGGGGGAGCTCGAGGCCTGCGTGCCGGAGGCCCTGGGAACACAGGCACTCACCACCAGATCGGGGGCTATGTCCTCTGATAGGGAGCAGAGTGGGGGCTCGCTGTCCTCCCACCTGCTTGCCAAGCCCCGGGGAAGCTGGCTGGCTCTCAGCCGGAAGCTGGGCGGTCTTTCCACCGCTGCTACCGTTTTCCCCAAAGAGACATTTCCAGGGTCTCATCCTTCATTCCTGCCCACAGGGCGACATGGGCTGTGCTCCAGGCAGGTGTGTGACACCATGTCCCTCACCCCCGGGCAGGTGCTGGGGACCCCCGGGACCACCCGCAGGAGGTTTCATGGGCTGTGAGGGCCAGTGTTTGCTCCTCTGTCCCCCCCAGCAGAGTGGGGCTGCTCCCGGGACGGGGCTCCAGGATTGGCAGGCTCTCTGTGCAGGCAGGGGTGGATGCAGGTGAGTTCATCCGCGAGCACCTCCTCGGCATGCAGGTCCGACCAGCCGCCCAGTGTGGACTCTGCTGGGACTTTGCACCCACATCTTCGGGCCCACGAGCTGGGCGAGCTGCAAGCTACGATGGCCCATCTTCGACAGGCTCGTCTTCTTGGGCTGCTCGCCGGAAACCATGATCGCGTGGACCCACCAGTGCCCACCTGCCCCCCACCACTGGCCGCCCCCTGACCCTGTTGCTGGGGCTCTGGTGCGGCCCGGGGAAGCAGCGGCCCCGTCCTAAAGCCCTTTGGCCCTTGGGAAAGCAAGGCCTTTGGCGCCCCCCACCCCACCCCCCACGGTCCCCCGACGCCGGGCACGCAGGCCAGGCCCCGAGCCTGCAGCTGGTCCCCAGCTGGGTCCCTGGCCCTGAGGCTGCCTTTGTGCCTGCACAAGGGAGACTCAGTTCGTCCCCTGCTCCTTGACCCTGCATCCTGCAGCCCCCTGGTGGGGGGGAGCAGACAGTGCCCGGAAAGGGAGCTAGACCACCTCAGTGACCTCTCTCCTCCAGGGCATCGCGGGGAAGCTGGAGAGGGCTGCCTATTGCAAGGCCATTAAGCAGGCTAATGAACCGTGAAGGCTCCTGGCCCCTCCGGCCCCCCACGGTGCCTCCCCTCAGCTCACAGAGCCCGCTGCCCACCTACCACCTTGTGACTGCTATTATTGTCACTTAGCGTGTCGGGCCATGGTTTTCCCAGACAGGGCTGGGGCCTCAGAGCTGCTCCTTGCCTTTTCCGGGCCCAGCGAGCACCGTGCACAGCATGCACTTAATAAATATTTGCTTGGGATCGGGCCCAGAAAGTCACCTTGCTTTCCAGAGCTGGGGAAGGGACTTGGGAGTCTGGGGACCCTTGAGCAGGGCTGAGGCGGCCAGTGGGCCTGGACACAGCCCGGTGACCTGCGTCCTGCAGCCGCGTTCTCCCCTCTGTCCCCAGCAGAGGAAGTGTGGGTGGCTTCCTCCACGCCAGCTGGTGCCCGCGTCCCCGACAGCTTCCTCTGGGCCCAGGCAGCCCACTGGGATGGAGCCTAAGATGGGACAAAGGCCCTGCCTGCTCTCTCACCTGAGCTCCCAGGCACCCTGCTCACCTGCCACACTTGGGCCCGGGGAGGGGGAGTCTGCTGAATCCGTGTCCTTCAGCACCGAGGCTGTGCCCCGGGGCCTTTTGTGCTGAGGAGACACCTGACTCCAGAGGGCACTCGCCTCGTGATGTGCTCAGGGGGGAGGCCGGCCTTCCCTGCAGACAGCAGGAGCGTGGGGGGCCCCCACAAAGCCCCGGGAGCCTCCGGTTGGAGTCTGCGCTGTGACACCTCAGAAAACCAAGCCAGCCTGGGCCCGGCAGCCACGGCCCGGAGTCCCCGGGCCCCACTTCCGTCCCTTCCCAGGCCCCAGCGCTCTCGGCGGCAGCAAAAGCGAGGTTGCCAAGCCGCCTCTCGATGCAGGGTGCTGGTTTTCAAGGTGGGAGTGCTGGAGCCTCGGAGCCACGGGCAGGCCTCAGGGTGGGTTTCTCAACCAGGGTGGGAGACAAAGAGACGGAGGCAAAGATGTACTGTGATACAGCCATATTTACTTCAACCTCCAGGGAATCCTAAGGGCCCAGTGACTCCCCTTGGGCCGTAAGATTGGGTTCCTGAAACAAGTCACGTCCACCCTTTCACGGGGGGCGGGGGGGGGGGGGGGCTGCCACTGCCCTGGCGGGAGCAGGGGCCTGAGCTCTCTATCATGTGGGTGCCATGTGTGGGGCCTGGGGCCAAAGATAAGGCCATGGGCACCCACTGCGGGCACTGAGCAGGGGCAGGAGGCCCAAAGGCCACCTGGCCAAGGCGTCAGGGCCACCCATGCATCCTGGAGCCTCAAGGTCGTGCGGAGGCCCCAGGAGGGAGCAGAGTCTTCGGAAACCAGCAGGGAGGCTGGAAGGTCACTGGAACAGCAGCGAGCCCCAGGGCTTCCCCCCTGCCCCGGGCCATCCTCCAGACCCTAAGCTGTCTTCTAAGACAGAAGAAGGAGCTGTTTCTATCACCATGACAACTAAAAATAAAAACAAACCAAAGCCTATCTTAAGGTATAATCTTCTGATTGCTTAAAATTAATCAGTGCAAAGTGAGGTAAAGAGCCTTGTGTCACAGGGGGCCGGGGAGTGGCAGGCCTCACACGAGCCTGCGCCTCTTGGAGTCCCTCTCCATATCCCCCTCCTGGGCATCCACGTCGCAGCCAAGTGGGGACACCAGGTTCAGCAGAGGGTCCTCGGAGGCCCGGCCGAAGAGTGCCAGAAGGAGGGCCACACCAAAGCCTGTGGCGCGCTCACCCTGTGGGCGAAGAGCAGGCTGGAAACCCTCTGCCAGGCGGAGCCAGACCCCTCAGCAAGCCCATCTCTGCAGGAAGGGGCTCCCGGTCCACCCCCACTTGCCCTGTGGCCCCCCTTCCTGCTATCCTGTCACACTCAGGACTGACTGGGGGGCAGGGTGGTGGAACGGTTCTGTGCGCTCTGGTCCCAAGCCCCAGGTCTTCGTGGGTGGGAAATGGGGAGCTGAGGGCCCTGGGCCTCCAGCTGAGGACAGGCTGGCTGGAGAAGGGCCACACACAGCAGGCACTCTGTTCCCGGGGCCGGGGAGACCAGAGGTTGGGGGCACAACTGGCCGGAGGTCAGGCCACAGGCAGTGCGACCCCCATCGCATGAGGCTTCGGATGAGCTCAGCCTGGAGCCAGAGAGGGGCTGTGGATGCATGCAAGGCGGGAGCAGCCCGGCCGGTGTGCGGGGTGCGCAGGGGGGTCGGGGGCAGGGAGGAGAGGAGGGCGCCACGGGGGAGCCTGGACTCACGGCGTGCACCGGGGCGGCGATGTCCAGGTGGACCCAGACGCCAGGCCAGTCAAAGCCGATGTGTGAGGCGATGAAAAGGCCAGCACAGGAACTGGGGCTGTTGTCCCGGTCCTGGGGGGACAGCAGGGCACACGGTGACCTTTCCGTTCCCGGCAGTGGTGGCGTGGGGAAGGGCCTCCACCTAAGGGCATTTGGGGCTGCTTCCCCTGGACCCGAGTGGGCGCCCCCGTGCCCTCTCGAGCACACCAGCCTCAGCCACCGCCTCCCCTGGTGGCTACAAGAAGGGTCCGACCGTGTCGGGAGACTGCGGAGAGGGGCCCCGAGGACCTTGCATGTGGGTTAAGGGGTCTGCCTTCTCCCCGGGGCGATGGTGGGGCTGGAGAAGGAGCGGACGCCGGAGCAGGGAGGGGACCCTCGGCGCCCGACCTGGTGGATGCGCTGGCGGGGAGACCAGTGAGAGACACGTCCCCACTCTGGACGCTTCCAGCCTGAGCGTGGATCTGGGGCCCCGCTGCAGGGGGACCCTCGTCCACACCGCTGCCACGTCTTGGGGTCCCCCGGGCTCCCCGAGGGCAGTGCTCCACCTGCCCCCTCCGCCCCGCACGGGCACCACTGACACCTACCGCCACGGAGTTCTTCATGTCGGCCACGGCCGAGGTGAACTCGCTGAAGTGCAGCTCGGGGCAGTAGACCAGGGGGTGCACCAGGTCCCCGCACCTCCTCCCGGCCTTCACGCAGGCCGCCTCCCACTCCGCGCTGTTGGTGAGCACGGCGGCGTGGTACTTGCCCGTGGCAATGCCCTGGGAGGGTGGCCGGCCAGAGGGAGGGCCGGAGCCGCAGGCGGAAGATGGAGCAGCGGGGAGGGGCAGCGAGAAGCGAGGGAGGGAAGGAACGAGAGCGTGAGTGCGCCACCAGAGGGACGCTTCCTAAGCTGTCCTGGCGCTGGGACCCAGCCCACGGGTTCTGCCACCTGCACCGCGCTGGATGCCAGGGACAAGCTCCCTGCTCCTCGGCCAGGCCGTGACGATTAGGGGACCGCACCAGCAACCCCCACCCCAGAGTCAAGGTGGCCCACCTGAGCTCCGGTCAGTGTGGCCACGTCCAGGATGATGTCGGCACCCAGGTCCTTGCAGGCGTAGGACACACCATCCGCCAGCACCAGCCTGCCCTCCGCGTCAGTGTTGTTGATTTCCACAGTCCTGGGGTGCAGCAGAGACCCCAGCTCAGGGATCGTGCTCCCTGGGGCACCGCGAGCGAGTCCCTTTGGAACTGGGAGACTCCATTTAGAGCCCCCTTCCCTCTAGCTCCCGTCTCGGGGGGCCCCTCCCGTCCCCTGCAGCAGTGCAGTGCCAGGGGCCAGAGCAAAGGGCAGCAGGTCAATCCGACCCCACTGCCCTCCTGCTGGGAGCCAGGGAAAGCCGCCCAGCCCCTGTGCCTCAGTTTCTTCATCTGTAAGATGGGAGAACAGGGTTGTGTGGGCAGCGTAAACTGCGCTGGGCCAGCCCTTGGCCCCCAATGCCAGGCACTGGGTAAATGCAAAAAGGGAAGCACCTCTGGGGGTCTCCCTGGGGACAGGCACCCTTGTATGGGGAGCTGAGTGGACTCTCCTATTGTGAATCTGGGCCACCTGCTCCTCCAGCGGCTGCCCACTGACTTCTAGGCATGTCCTTATGCTGAGAAGAAACAGTCCAAGGGCTGACCTCAAGGGGGAAATGCAGGGAGGGCCCCCAAGTAGGGAATCGGTGGGGGCGGGGGGCGGGCAGGGCTTCAGATGCACAAAGAACTTTAAGCCTAAAGGTTGGGAAGGGCTCATCCCATTAAGGCAGGGTGAATCCTATGCCAGGCACCTTGAGGGAGCCCAACAGCTTGTCCAGTGATGCGGCCAACACCCCCTGGGCCCCTGGGAGCAAGCAGCCCACTGCCCAGGGGCCCCTGTGACAGGGCATCCTCCCCACCGGATGTGCCTCTGGCTGGAGTGAGCCGGGTGAAATCAGCCCCCCGGCTGACCAGCCTAGCCCTGGGAAGGAGAGGGGCCCCCTAAGAGTTCTAGCCCAGAAGGCAGCCAATGAGTGAGGAGAGCCAGCCTTACTTTCCTGAGTACAGCAGGTGGATATCGTCTGGCCTCGTAGCGTTGGGACCCACAGAGTTTTCGGCCAAGCAGAACACAGCGTGGAGGTTGTCTTTGAAACCCTGGAGGGAACATGGGCAGAGGCTCCTGCTACAGGTGGCCGTGCATGGAGGAGGGAGGATAGGCCAGAGCCTCCCACCCCCATGGACAGACAGAGCCCTAGGGAGCAGAGAACAGACTCCCCAGCAGTTCTGGCAGCACCCCATCTGGGGAGTCTTGCCTCCTCCATCAGAGCCCAACAATGTAGAAATGAGCCCAGGAGTGGGGCTGGGCTCCCGCTTTAATCCTGGCTCAACCACTTACCCGGGGCACGAGCCAGGCTGCCAGCTCAGCCCCTGCCTCCTGTCCACAAAACGTGGTCAGCGATCAATGTCTCCCACTGCACAAACCCTCTGAGCTCGGCACAGCTGCACAAAGCAAGTCACACGCACACAGGTACATGGGGGTTGGGAGAACTTGCCTCACAGAAATTTAGGTGTGAAGTTAGTTTTCTGATGCCCAAACATGACGTTGGCACATTGAGAAATGTGCACGAAACAGGCGGAGGCAGTTTCTGCCCCACACGGGTCCTCAGCCTGCCCAAGAAAACCCCAAGGCGGCCTTGCCCGGGTGGCAGTGGTGGGGGGAGTGGCGGTCCCACACCCTGTCCCTGCGCGTCCTCTCCTCCCCGACCTGAGCCCTTAACCAGGACGCGTCTCCTCTGGGCACGGGGCACGCCAGGCCCCTTCCCGCTGCCTCCAGGCTCTCACACGCAGCTGTCAGGTGCGGCCTTATCTCTGCAACAGGTGAGTCTTCCACCACAGGTGCAGAGCCCCCAGGGAAGGTAAACACAGGCCTGCTGCACGGGCTGGGCCGTGGCCCCGGGCTGGGACGGCTTTGAGCCTGAGCCCGACACCCCGCGCCCGGGAAAGCCCCCCCTCGCTTCCCGGGGAACATGACACCAGGCAGCCCGTCAGCTCGAAGACCCCTCCAAGAGTGGCTGGGACTAAATGAATTGTGACAACATGTGGCCTTGAAACAACAGGGTGGCCCCAGGGGCTCTGAAGCTAGAGAGGCAGGTGGACCTCGCCAGGGAAGGCGGGGAGCCCCGACGTCTTCCCAGAGAGAGCCATGTCGGGTCTGGGCCTGGAGGCGAGAGGAGTTTGCGGAGCACGCGCAAGCATTATGTTGTGGCAGGATAGCGGGGTGGTGAGGAGAGACCACGGTCCCCAACCTGACCCTGTCAGATGCCCACCCCCTGATTTTGGATTCAGGTCTGGGGTGCTGCTGATTCTGGTGTGGGGTCCCCCTTGGGAAGGCCAGCTTAGAGGGTGGCTGCGAGCCTTGGGCAGGTGGTTCTGAGCTCATGTGGCAGGTATTGGGGTGCAGGGGTGAGACACACAGGTCTTGGGATCCCCAGGGGGACTGAAAAGCAGCTGCGGGCGGCTGAGGTTTTAGGTATGTGAGGCTTGGAGGGTCACGGCCGCCCCAGCACCAGGTGCTCCCTGCTCCCAGCAAGCCCAACATCGCATCGCACATCCTCTCCTTTTAAAAACTGTTAGAACGTCTAATTTTGAAAAAATTTCAAACTTAAAGTTTGGCAAAAATGGTACAAACAATCCTTGGATACCCCTGACTGTGACCCCCACGCCCTCCAGTGGCAACACCTGGCATGCCCCATGCGCTGGTCTGCACTGGGGAGTCATCACTGACTTGAGGATCAGATCTAGTCCGGGCACACGGACTTGGCCGTCACCTCAGTCTCCTCAATCTGGGACTCCTGAGATCCACCCTCCGTCTTTGGTGACCTCACGCCTCGCTGTCTCCTGGGGCCTGCACTCCCCACCTGCGCTCGGCCGGATGCCCAGAGACCCCCATGTTCTTCCTGGGACTTTGTCTCAGAGGTGTGATGCCGCGAGGACACAGTGACCCCGCCGGGCAGAGTCCCTCTAAGTCACTCCCAGCCACGCCAGCTGTCCTACTCCCACGACATTTCTGCACTTGGGTTCCAGCAGCTCTTGCTCGCTTCTAGAGTGCTGTCTGCCCCGCAGTGACGTGCTGTGTCCATCCCTGCTCTGCAGTGGGCATGGGGAGGTTCTCGGGAGAAACAGTGCTCCTCTCCTCTACTTACTTATTCATTCAACGCTTGGTTCCTACTTATGGGTGTGCAGATTCTTAGTTTACTCTGTGGGTTCTAAGCATCCCCACCATTATTTATTGTGTGGCTCACATCAAGGCCTACAAAAATTGCAGTTACACTCTATAGAAAGGTCCCAAATAAATAAAATTATGAATGAAAGAGGAGAGATCACAACCAACACCGAAGACATACAATTATAACAACATATTATGGGCAACTATGTGCCAACAAATTAGGCAATCTGGAAGAAATGGATGCATTTCTAGAGACATATAAACTACCAAAACTGAACCAGGAAGAAATAGAAAACCTGAACAGACCCATAACCAGCAAGGAAATTGAAGCAGTCATCAAAAATCTCCCAACAAACAAGAGCCAGGGCCAGATGGCTTCCCAGGGGAATCCTACCAAACATTTAAAGAAGAATTAATATCTATTCTTCTGAAGCAGTTTCAAAGAATAGAAATGGAAGGAAAACTTCCAAACTCTTTCTATGAGGCCAGTATTAACTTGATCCCAAAACCAGATAAAAACCCCACCAAAAAGGAGAATTACAGACCAATATCCCTGATGAATATGGATGCCAAAATTCTCACCAAATACTAGCCAATAGGATCCAACAGCACATTAAAAGGATTATTCACCACCACCAAGTGGGATTTATCCCTGGGCTGCAAGGTTGGTTCAACATCCGCAAATCAGTCAATGTGATACACCACAATAATAAAAGAAAGAACAAGAACCATATGATCCTCTCAATAGATGCAGAAAAAGCATTTGACAAAGTACAGCATCCTTTCTTGATTAAAACTCTTCACAGTGTACAGATAGAGGGAATATGCCTCAAAAGCCATATATGAAAAGCCCATAGCAAATATCATTCTCAACGGGAGAAAAACTGAGAGCTTTTCCCCTAAGGTCAGGAACGCAGCAGGGATGCCCACTCTCACCACTGCTATTCAACATAGTACTAGAAGTCCTAGCCACAACAATCAGACAACAAAAAGAAATAAAAGGCATCCAAACTGCCAAAGAAGAAGTCAAACTCTCACTCTTGGCAGATGACATAATACTCCATGTGGAAAACCCAAAAGATTCCACCATAAAATTGCTAGAAGTCATTCAGGAATTCAGCAAAGTGGCAGGAGATAAAATCAATGCACAGAAATCAGTTGCATTTCTATACACTAACAATGAGACAGATGAAAGAGAGATTAAGGAGTCGATCCCATTTACAACTGCACCCAAAACCATAAGATACCTAGGAATAAACCTAGCCAAAGAGGTAAAGGATCTATACTCTGAAAACTATTGAACACTCGTGAAAGAAATTGAGGAAGACACAAAGAAATGGAAAAACATTCCATGCTCATGGATTGGAAGAACAAATATTGTTAAAGTACCTATGCTACCCACAGCAGTCTACACATTCAATACAATCCCTATCAAAATACCATCCACTTTTTTCAAAGAAATGGAACAAATAATCCTAAAATTTGTATGGAACCAGAAAAGACCCCGCATAGCCAGAGGAATGTTGAAAAAGAAAAGCAAAGCTGTCATCATCAAGACAGTATGGTACTGGCCCCAAAACAGACACATAGATCAATGGAACAGATTAGAGAGCCCAGAAATGGACCCTCAACTCTATGGCCAACTAATCTTCAACAAAGCAGGAAAGAATATCCAATGGAAAAAAGGCAGTCTCTTCAACAAATGGTGTTGGGAAAATTGGACAGCCACGTGCAGAAGAATGAAACTGGACCATTTCCTTACACCACACACAAAAATAGACTCTAAATGGTTGAAAGACCTAAATGTGAGACAGGAGTCCATCAAAATCCTAGAGGAGAACACAGGCAGCAACTTCTTCGACCTCAGCTGCAGCAACTTCTTGCTAGACATGTCTCCAAAGGCAAGGGAAGCAAGGGCAAAAATGAACTATTGGGACTTCATCAAGATAAAAAGCTTTTGCAAAGCAAAGGAAACAGTCAACAAAACCAAAAGACAACCGACAGAGTGGGAGAAGATATTTGCAAATGTCTTATCAGATAAAGGGCTAGTATCCAAAATCTATAAAGAACTTACCAAGCTCAACACCCAAAGAACAAAGAATCCAATCAAGAAATGGGCAGAAGATATGAACAGACATTTCTGTAGGGAAGATATATAAATGGCCAACAGACCCATGAAAAAGTGCTCAACATCGCTCAGCATCAGGGAAATACAAATCAAAACCACAATGAGATACCACCTCATACCAGTCAGATTGGCTAAAATTAACAAGTCAGGAAATAACAGATGTTGGCGGGGATGCGGAGAAAGGGGAACCCTCCTACACTGTTGGTGGGAAGGCAAGCTGGTGCAGCCTGTATGGAGGTTCCTCAAAAAGTTGAAAATAGAGCTGCCCTACAACCCAGCAACTGCACCTCCAGGAGAGGTGACACCCCCAGGAGAGGTGACACCCTCTGGAGAGGTGACACTCAGGAGAGGTGACACCCCCAGGCAGAGGTGACACCCCAGGAGAGGTGACACCCCCAGGAGAGGTGACACCCCAGGAGAGGTGACACCCCCAGGAGAGGTGACAATCAGGAGAAGTGACACCCCCAGGCAGAGGTGACACCCCAGGAGAGGTGACACCCCCAGGAGAGGTGACACTCAGGTGGAGCAGCCCTGGCGGAAGGCAGGGAGCTCTGGGAGCCCAGGGGTGTCCAGCATGGCAGTGCAGAGGAGGGAGAGAGACACGGAGCTGTGGGGACTCAGGAGCACCGTGGGGGACCTGGGGGAGAGGGAGGGTCAGCTCACACCGGGGAGCCCTCCATCCCGAGGACTGCAGAGGGCGGGGCCACACTCACCTGCTTGATGGCAGCTCTGAAGGCCCCCAGCACAGCCGCGGCACCCCCACAGTCCCTCTTCATCCCAGGCATGGTGGTCTGGAGGGGGCACAGAGGGGGCACTAAGTGAGCGTGAGTGGATGTCGGCCCCGCCGGCAACAGTGCCCCATCCCTGCCCGGCACACAAGGGCCCCAGAACAGCTCCCCCAGACCTGCGCGACCCGCTGCCGGGTCCCCAGAGCACACACAGAACCCACGAAACTCCCACTTGTCGAGTGGCTGGTCTCCAGAAGCAATGGGGCAGAACGGCGAAGGTGATGGGCGCTTTCCGCTGGGGCAGAGCTTTGGGGGCTCCTGGTACACCAGAGGTGGGAGGGGAAGGGGACCCGGGAGCTGCCCAAAGTTGCCACGTGGGCTGTGGCCTTGCTCCTCCCCTCCGTGGTGTCAGCCTTCCCATTTTCCTGGTTCCCATTCCTCAGCCCTCAGCCGACAAGTACAATCAGACCCTCACCCTGAGATGGCCCCCAAAGAAACCCCCGGTCCCTGAGCTCTCGGGACACCTCAGCTGCTCACCCGCCCCCACCTCTCCCAGGAGCCCGCTCCCCGAGGCCACCTGCTCTGCTGGGTCAGCAGTACCCCTGCCAAGCAGCCCGGCTCCCGGGGGCCCTGTGATTCCCGCTCAACACGGGGGGCACACGGGAGTGGCCTCTCCTGGCTTCCGGAGCTCTCTGATCCCCACTTGCTGGCAGAGGGCTGTGCCTGCGTATGATGCACGTGGTGCCCGGCCGGCGTGCACCCTGCAGAGGGCCCCGAGGTGGCTGTACCCTGCAGAGGGACAGGGCCTTGTTCTGGTTCCCACGACGGCCCCCTCCCACACCCCCTGCTCCCTTTGCTAGCCCTCCCACTTCTACTCGTCTCCTGCAGGCCCGGTCCCAGGAAGAGCCCCAGAGCTTTACGTCAGGCCTGCCCCCCTTCACACTGCCCTCCTTCACACTGCCCTGAGGTCTGACCTCCCAGCCAGCACCCCTGCACCCCAGTCCCAGGGGGGCTTGCAGTAGCCACGCAGCAGGTTAAAACCAGGCACCATGTGCCTTCCCCCTCATACCGCGTCCTCCCCCAGGACCGTCCATCTTCCTCTGTGCACCAGCCTCCCTTGCTCCCGCCACCACCCAGACCACCTTTCTGCAGCAGACCACCCTGCCCAGGTCACCGCCTGGCCTCGGCGACACTTTCGGCCTCAGCTCTGCTCCTTGACGTCACTGTCTCAAACAATCCGCTCAGGTTCATGTGAACTCTTCCCCAATGTCACCGTCACGTCCCTGATCCCACCCCACTGCCCGCTCTGTCGGCGTCTAATGAGGGCCGTGAGCGGCGGAGGCTCCCTCCTGCCGCAGAAGGAGCTGTGATTTTCTACAAACGGGTTGAGAGCGGTTACACATTTTTACATTTTATAGGTTCCCAGCTCTAATTGACAAGTTCATACTTTAAATTAACAACAGGTCATCAGATGCAGGATTTGGGTTTGAAATGGACGGAGTGATTTTTTCGAACCCTTATCGGATTACACAAGCCTCGAGTTTTAATGGAAAGTATTTTTAGACATAAACCGAGCTGCTTTTACAATTAAATTGAGTGAAAAGGACCCAGCTAGCACTATTGAAAATAAGCTGTCTCTTTGACCTAATCGGTGAGAAAGCACAGGATTGTTTAAATGGAAAAACGGGGCCTCAGATCTGGAATCAAACCACCGGCAAAACGGCCCATGCAGAATAGCTCAAGATGGTCACTGAAATTGTGTCTCCCTGTCACCGGGGCGGCTTCCCAACCGCAGACCGAACAAACGCCAAACTGCAAGTGTAACTCAATGGACTGTGTGAACTTTGCAGATTCTCCACACGTTGCTCCTATTTTTCTGAAAGAGGCGATTTCCGAAACCCCCGTTTCACGGGGTTGACACCCGTGCAATTCAGCAGAGCGGTGGCGCGTCCAGCCACGGCAGGGACGGTCCCCAGACTCGCCTCCGCCCTCCGGGAAAATAAAGCGCAGCCAACTCCACTTGAGTCTCCTTGCTGAAGGAGTAGAATGGTGGATTTTTCAAAAGCTCAACTGCTGAGCACAGCTGTTTGCAAGATTCCCTGTGATGGAACAGAAGGTGCGTGCACCGAGCACCCCTACTGTCCCCAGGCCGGGTGGTCAGAGCAGAAGCCACGGACGGTCTCCCGGGGCTCAGCTCAGCTGGGCTCTGTGCTCCAGAACACCGTTTTAATTCAAAGAACAACTGACACATGACGGGTTATTCAGACTCGGGTGTCCAGCAGAAGCGAACCTCTCACGTCCAGGGGAACAGCTGACCATAGTTGGTGCCAGTGGGAAAATTTGAGCTTTCAAGCAAAAAAAAAAAAAAAAAAAAAAAATCGCAATTTTGGAAAACCTGTATCTTCTGTCTCCGTGACGGCTTTCTAATACTCAGCGATTTTTTTTTTTTTGAAGATTTTATTTATTTATTTGACAGAGAGAGACACAGCAAGAGAGGGAACACAAGCAGGGGGAGTGGGAGAGGGAGAAGCAGGCTTCCCACAGAGCAGGGAACCCGATGCAGGGCTCGGTCCCAGGACCCTGAGATCATGACTTGAGCCGAAGGCAGACGCTTAATGACTGAGCCACCCAGGTGTCCCATACTCAGCGATTTTTAAAACGAGACAGATGGTGGTACCAAGTGTGACTTTTAAAAACATCCTGTGTTGGGCCACAATTTGGAGGGTCTGTGTAACTCCGTGAATGATGTCGTCTGGATGACCCATGCATGATATTACAAAATCACGCTTTCACAGTTCAAGGTAGACCATAGATATTAAGTAACAGGGTGCAAAGACTCACTGACATGGTTTCTGATCCCGCACCAATTCCTCACCTTTCCGAGACTCCCACTTGTCGAGTTTTGGTGTAATAGCAAAGAAGAATGTCCTTAGTTATTTGTAAAGGGCACTAAACTATTTCTCCCTTTTCCAACTACAAAGTAAGTGAGGCCCGATTTTCTTTTTATATTTCAACTCAGACAACGTATCACAAGAGACTCAGTGCAGAACCAGATACACAATCACAGCCATCTTCTATCAAGGCAGATAGGAGAGAGATCAGCAAAATGTAAACCATGCCACTCTTCTCACTCATGTCTTTTCATTTTGGAAAATATAGTTATTTTCATAAGATTATATTATTTACATTAACATGCAATGGATTTATATTGTTATATTAAAAGAAATTACTAAGTATCTTTCCCAGTCTTTATTTCTAGTAGGGTAAATATCTACGTCTGTTAAATATCACTCTGATTAAAAAAAAAAAAATCCCCTTGGGATCAATACTTGTTAAGAAAGGAAGGGGTCCTGAGACTAACACATTTGAGACCTGCATTCACACTGATCCTGATTTGCCTTTGAAGTCTTTGGAGATGGGAGTGGTGACTCCTGCAGGATTGGGTATGGTGCCCCCAGCAAAAGGACTAATTATCGGGAGCCCCCGCTTCTCACTCTGGCCCTCCAACAAGCCAACATCTGCTCCCAGGAGGAAGGAGCTGGGAATTCTACCCGCTCCTAGCCTACCCTACCTTGTCCTCCAGGACAAGAGCCAGCCAGCATGGCGGGTGAGAGAGAGGGCTGGCCAGTACCAGATGCAACCAGAGGGGCGCACTGGCTGTGGAGAGTCTGCCAACAGTAAGTAATCAAAGTCCGTCGTCCTGCCATCATCAGTGGGAAAATGGTTCTCCCGAAAAATCTGTCGAAGTGAGTTCTAATCATACAGATAAAAGGTTCAAACCCACCTATTCTAGCTACTTATCCTTTGCCAGGTACAGGGCTGGCCGGATAGGCAGGAGCGTGCCTTCCAGCAGACAGCGAGGCGGGGCCGGCGTCTGTGACTCCCCACGGTCCTGCCTCCACAGTGGACTCGGAGCAAACCCACGGGTACAGGGAGCCTGGGCCTCCCGGCCTCCCTCAGTCTATGTGAGCCACTGGGCTTGTGTTTCACACGATTTTACTCCACGGACCTGTGAAGGCTGCTAGAATCAGTTTCAAAGAACTGCAGACACGGACAGTATCGCCATTTCTGGAGTTTCTTGGGAAATGGGGTTTGGGGCAGTCTCTGCCAAGTGATCCTTATGTGAAAGGCTCTTCCTGGGTATCGGTGTACAGATTGTTTCATGCGACAGAAACTCTTCCTAATTCAAATTAACAGTGTTTTGGGATCAACCATGAGTGCCGATGGACTGACCAATCTCGGACCCTGGTAAGTGTAGAGATGTGCAAACTTTTGATAAAGTCATTGGCAAATCTACAGAAGTGAAGGCCTCCAAACAGACACTGTAGTGCTAATACTCCTTTTACCACAACAGACCAATAGGGAGGCATTAAGTTCTTTCTATTCAAAAGATCACATTGATGTAATTTAAAAGTATTGATCTATTGCTGTTTTATGTGTGCTGTAACATTTATATATTTATTTACTTACTTATTTACAGATTCTATTTTTAAGTCATCCCTGCACCCCACATGGGGCTCGAACTCACGACCCCGAGATCAAGAGTCGCATGCTCCACCGACTGAGCCGGTCGGGCGGCCCTGTCATACTTATTTTCATTTTTTTACTGGTGTGATAATACATATGGAATTCAATAAAGGTGAATTCACTATTGGTGTTTGTTTTTTTTTTTAAACCTTTATTCTCCGATCATTTCCTGATTAGGCCTGAAAATAATGTTTACGGGAGGAGGGATGTTTAAAAAAAAAAAAAAAGGAACAGACCATCCACTCTAGGTAGCAAATGCACTAGACTGGCTAGCGGTGCAAATGGTAACGCACAGTCTCCCCCCGAAACATTGACCAACACCAGGGCTCAGGTTGGAAAGCGTCGGAGCTGCGGCGAACCAGACCGTGCGGGCTCCATCCACGGGGCAGTGCTTCTTGGCTCCTGTGGGATGCCTCCAGGTGGAGATGGAGGGTCCGTACTGCCGGATCGCCTCAGTTTACAAAAGGTCAGATAGCCAGTGTTCTGCAAGAATTTCTCCTGTTTTTTAAATGTTGGTAACTAATTCAAATTATAGACCAGCCCTTGGGCCAACAGGACGTATCTGTGAGCCACACTGGCTGCCAGCTCTCGAGCTCTGCTCTCTCTTCTAGAGCCTTCTCTCTGGGAAGGTTGGCTCTCTTCTTCCTGGTCTCCTGGGGCACAGATTTCACACGCCTGCTCCTTCCCAGGCCTTCCGAGTCCTGGCACCGTAGAGCCCAGCCCAGGCCCGGTGCCCAGTGGTTGCTCAACCCAAGTGTGGGACATGAGCAGATGAAGATGTGTCCCTCCTCCTCCTCCTGGGGCCATCTCGGCTCCCAGCGTGCAGCAGGCCCAAACGTGCTGGGCGTGGAGGAGGGCAGGCAGCTCAGTGGCCGAGAGATGCGGCCACGACTGGCGCCCTTAGGTGCCCGGCCTCCTGAGACGACCCTACTTAAAGGCCACCCATAGGAGAGACTTCTGCCGCCGGGCCTCACAGGAACACTGGCGGGTGGCTTGCTCGTGGGGCCAAACCCCTCTGGCCTTCACCGGGGCGCCTGTTCTCCGAGTGGGCTCATGCAGATCGCACTAAGCATTCTATCCGTGGAAAACTTGCTGGTCATGGGGACCATGGGCACCACCCCACGCCCTTCTCTTCAGACAGAACCACCGAGTCCTTGAACCTTGCCTTCTTGGGCTCGTTTTCCAGCCTTTTAATCATTTCTGTGGCTTTTCTCTGGATCTTGTCCAGACTTTTTGTTTCCAGACCCCTGTCTGGAGTGTGGACATGAAACTGTCTCCCCCTCAGAAAAGGAATCAACCCTTCCGACTCCTCCCGAACCTGGCTCCCCAGAGGCACGCCCCAATGTGAAGGTCCCAGAAGCCTTGCTCACTGTCTTCCTCCAGTGCCTCTGAGAGCTGATGAGGCCCCCGAGAGCCCTCCCCACCCTGGGACCCGCCCAAGCACTGGCCCCAGCACCTCACCTTCCCTTTGATGCTGAGACCCCCGGTGTCATAGACGATCCCTTTGCCCACCCATGCAATGGTTTGCGTGGCTCCTTCTGGGGTGTGGCTGAGGACGGCCAGCGCCGGGGGGTGGAGGGCAGCCTTGCCAACACCATAGATTCCTACAGAAAGCACAGGGAGAGGGTCAGTTGGGCTCAGGTTGAACTGCGCAGAGAACTCCCAGCAGCCCCCCAGAAACAACAGCTCTCCCCCGGAAATACCCACTGGCATGTGAATATTTCTCCTGGAGAGTGTGCAGTCCAAGCCCGAGCTCCCTGCCCCCTGTCCTGCCCCCTGGCCAGCATGGGATGGGGGAAGGCAAATTAGTTCCAATGCTCTGGGACTGCAAACGAATTCCGTGCGAAGTATCGTTAGGCAAGAAAACCCGCTGAGAAAAAAACAAAACAAAACTGTATCATTCCCAGAAAGAAATGAACAGCGTTGCAGAATGAAATGATTTTTGGATAATGTTTCAAGGCCACTCCAGCCCACGCTCGTTCGCCCCTCCCTGAGCCCTCTGTGCACTCGGCGCGGCACCACCCTTTCCAAGCCCACTCCCACCACTGCCTTGCCCTGGGGTGTACGTGCCCTGTCTCCTCAAGAAAGCCTCTTGTGGGCAGAGACCAGGCCTCAAGGCCCCCGGCAACTGAACTGAATGAGAGCCAATAATGGCTGCCTGACAAACTCCCATATATCCTGCAAAACCCGCCGTAAATACCATCTCCTCTGTGAAGATTTCCCTGACCTTCGCAGCCTCTGCCTCCCCTTGTCGCTGGTTTATGTGTTCTGTGGTAGGCACCTCTAGGATAGCCCCCTCCGATCCCTGCCTCTGGGATCCCCTCTCTCTCAGTGTGGCTGGAACCTTGCGTCTTGCTTCTGGATACAGCAGAAGTGATGAGATGCCACTTCCAAGACTATGTTGCAAAAAAAGACCTTGCCTCCTTCTTGCTTGCTCGCTCTTCCTCGCCCAGAAACCTTGCTCTGAGGGAAGCAGCTGCTACTCGTAAGCTGCTCAAGGAGAGGCCCAGATGACAAGGAACAGCCAGCAAGGCCCCAAGGCCTGGTGACAACACTGTGAGTGAGCCTGGCTGGGACCACATCACCAGCCCCGGTTGAGACTTCAGATGACTGCTGATCTAATCAACATGCTGGTCTCCATGTGGCAGGGACCCTGGGCCCGGGATCCAGCCCAGCCATGCCTGATTCCCTGCCCATAGAACTGTATGTTGCCTTCAGTTGCTTCCTTCTGGGGTAATTTGTTTAGCAGTCATTGATAAGGAGTGCGGTGACCCTCCCCCAGCCAGACTGAAAGTGCCTACACTTGTCACCATATTTCCAGTGCCTGGGGGCCAGGGAGGATGGGTCTGGTCATCAGGAAAGGCCCTCTGAGGAGGTAGATTTGACCCAGGATGTTCAGGGTCTGATGGCCCCTCTGTGAGAGTATCTTGGAGAAGGACTCCAGAGAAAGAGAGCCATAATGATGAGGCCCTGATGTGAACGTGGGCTTGTGTGCTCAAGGAGCAGAAAGGTCCTGCTGAGTTGGCCCAGGCAGCCAGGACAGCAGCCCTTGTGGACAGGGAGTGGGCTGGGGAAGGACTTGGACGCTGCAGCTTCCAGAGTCTGAATCAGCGCCTCCTTTCTCCCCCAGAGATGGTCCGCTTCTCAAGGTCTGGCCTTGGGGTTGGACAAAGGCTGGCTCCTTTCAAGGGAAGCTTGAGGCATCGCAGTGCGTGACCCACAGCCACCCTGCCACCCCCAGCACCCAGGACCAGCCTGAGGCCACGGCCCGTAAGGCCCAACCCTACCCACCTCCAAAGCCTCTCGTCTTTAGCTCCTCATCTCGGATGATCGTTGGGGTGATCCCCAGATCTTTTCCAACTTTCTTAATCTCCTGGACACGTTCATGGAAAAAACAACACAAAGACATGTGAAGATGGCTTAAGTCAAGGCGAGGCCGAGGCTCGGGACCAGCGATGAACCGACGCCCGTGTGGCGGAGAGGAACAGGCTCAGAATCCAGGGCCTCAACTCTCTCGGCTTGGAGCACGATTAAATCCAGGACAGAAGGTTCACCCTCTAAACTACAGTAGGTCATGGCTGCGGTCCTGCAGAAAGGCCTTGAGGAGGAGGCCCTGTCCTCCCTCCCCCCTCCACCGAGGCCTGGGGGCCCCCTGCAGCTGGGTGGACAGCAAGACTCTGTCCACGGCAGCCCCAGGCGCCCCCAGGTAGGGTGCCAAGGCTGTAGGCACTGTCTCCCTCCAGCCCTGGGTATCCCCTGACTTCCTTGGGGTCTATCAACGTCTCGCCCACCTTGGCCCCACCCTGGCATGACTCCCTGGGGCCACGAACCTCGAGGAAGGTGTCTGTGTTCATCTCGTTGCAGGGCGTGTCCACGATACGGGCAGCCAGCCGCACGCCTTCCGTGGCATTTGCTAAGCACTGGGGAAAGAAACCAGAGGCTGTCACTGGGGACCTAGGACCAGGTAGGAAGGGCTGTCCCTCCCTGTCCGTTGCCCCAGGGACCAAAGGCATCAGTAGCACATGCCACCCGGGGGAGGTTTCGGGGCCGCTGACAGGGTGTCGAGGGGCAGGTCAGGGGGAAACAAGACTCACGGTGTCTGTTGCTGTCTTCCAGTGCCTGTGACCCACCCTGCTGTCCACAGAAAGTTCCACACGACTCTGCACCTCGCCTCCAGGTTACACGAGAATCCTTCAGCCTGACACCCCCACCTGGTGTCAGTGGGGCCCACCTCCCTTTCCAGGCCTCATCTGCTGCTTACTCCCCTCATCCTGGCGGCAGGCGGTCCTGTGCCGGCCCTGAACGCACACTGGGCATTCCTGCCTTGGGCGCCTGGCAGTCCCATGTCCTCTCTTGGGGGAAGTGTTGTCCTTTGCTAGGGGCTGAATGTCTGCATCGCCCCTAAACTCATATGTTGAAGCCCTACCCCCGCAGTGGTCAGGTTTAGGTGAGGTCAGAAGGATGGGGCCCATGATGGGATTAGCGCCCTCACAGGAAGAGGGAGGGAGGGCACGGCCAGAAGACCACCACCTGCAAACCAGGCAGGGAGTCCTCAACCTGCCCTGATCTCAGACGGCCTCCAGAACCCTGAGAGGTACAGGCCTGTTGGTGAAGCCACCCCGTCGGCGGTATTTTCTTATGGCCACTGGAGCCGACCGATACACCCTCCCTTCTCCTCTTGTCAAGATCCTGGCCATCCTTTATGGCACTTCTTAAAGGCCGTGCCTTCCAGAAGCTTCTCTGGATCCTCCCAAAGGAGGAGAAGGTCTCTTCGTCCTGCACCCCAGTGCCCGCTGGTCCCCCTTGTGGCACTCTGGCCGTGAGGGTGGCATTTTTCTCACGTGAGCCCCATGGGAGTGTGACACAGACTCCCTGCCCTTGTGTTCCTGGCCATCCGATGCCGCACAGCTCTGGGTATGGAGTGCGGAGGGAAGAACGCACAGACCCTGCCTCGTGCGGCTCATATGTTGGCCCAGAGCCCAGAGGGAACAGGGACCTGACACCGTCCCCTGCGTGCTCAAACACAGGAGCCGCCCCAGGCCCCATGCTGGCCGCCCTCCCCGGCCCCACCCCTACTTTCTGCAAAGAACTTCTGTCCCCCTTTTGCTTCAGTGCTGATTCTGGAAGGTCTTTGCCTTCTCGCTCATCTCTGCCTAGCTGCTGCCCACGGCGCCGCCTGCCCCACCCCCATGCCCACCCCCACCCCCGAGCTTCGGACACGGGGCTAGCCGGCCGCCTCTTCCCTGTGTGCTGGGAAGAGGTGATACTGAAAGAGCAAAGCTGTGCAGGTGCAGTAGGGATGCAGAGAGCATCGAGTTATCATCACCTGCCCAGCACCCCGGCGCCAGGGAGGGCAGGTTCTGGGTCCACTGCGCCAACCCAGCCACCTTCCAGGCCCTGCTGAATGGCTCGGAGAACTTCTGCCTTCCGGAGGTAATTAAACCCCCAAGCCTCAAAGGCAGGGACACAGGACTTGACAGCTCAGATATGAGATGTGACCTTGTGGTCCCCTCCGCCTGACAGCGGGCTCTCCTCTGGGAGGCCGAGGGTCCCTGTCTGTGGGCGTCACAGAGACCATTGCTCATCTCTGATGCAGCCTGTGGTCGCTGTCTGGGAAGTGCGGCAGTGCCCTAAGACTCATCTCTAAGAAGGCCGGGTGCTCGCCTAGCAGCCCTCCGTGGGCTCAGAGCCCCCGCTGCAGCCTGGCTGGGCGAGAGGGCACACAGCATCTGCGGGGGAACCCGGGGGAGGCTCCCAGTGCCCCTCCGCCACCACAGAGCCTCGTGACCCTGGGGAAGAGCTTGTGCCTCGTCGTGCCCCAGGATCGATCATTCATTCGTTCATTCGTTCATTCCACCCATGTTTCTATGAGCACCTACTGTGTGCCAGGCTCCACACTAGACTCTGGGAATTCAAAGATGTCCAAGGTACTCCAGCCCAGCAGAGAATCACAACACCTCACTCCACTAAACACGACAGGGGAGGAGGGTATGAAAGACCACAGGGACCCGGGGGGGAAGAGGACTTGCAGGGGGGAGTGCTGAGGAGGCCACCCAGGGTGCCTGAGGTTCCGTGCTCATGATCCAAGACAGACGGGAAAGAGAGCTGACAGACGGCAGCAGTGGTTAAGACCTGGCTCTGCCCCTTGCTGGTGTGGCCCCAGTAAGTCACCTAGCATCTCCAAGCCTCATTCTGCTCAGCCCGACGGTGGAGAGAACAATGGTCCCACCTCCTAGGGCTGTTGAGAGGACTCAGTAGGCAGTCCGCGTCTACGCAAGCTACGAGCAGCCATGGGAAGGGGAAGTGGATGGAGGGCATCTGGAGGCAGCAAGACCAGTGAGGAGGCGGCCACAATGGCCCAGGAGAGCAGTGGGGCGTGGGTGGGGGCTCCGCAAGGCAGTGGCAGTGGGCAGAGTAGGATGCACTGGATGTGGGGGTCAAGGAGACCCACCAACCCAACCGTCCTCGTCACATGTTGGGCCCCTGCTGGGACCACAGACCAGGTCCCTGCCCTCCGGAAGCTCCCACCCCAGTGCAGGGCGCAGAAGCTAAGCAGAGATGTGTCACATCAGGTGGTATGGCACTCAGCAGGCAGAGGGCCCGACTTCAAGCGAGGCCATGTCAGCCAGCCAGCTCCCTGTGGAAAGGGACGTGGGCAGACCCGGAGCAGGTAGGACCTGGAGAGGGAAGCTGAGGAGGACAGAAAGTCAGTCCACCATGGCCAGCGGGGAGGGAGGAGAAGGGCTTGGAGGATGTGGGGGGTCCAGGGTGCTGCTCAGGCCGGGAACTCAGAAGGAATGCCCTGCCGCTAGAGGGGAGGGGTGGTCGTCGGTACCCGTCTGTGGGATGGAGCCCACAGGCGCTCGGAGAACCCAGATGAGAGGAAGTGAGATCGGAATGTGGGAATGCTCTGGAAAGGGGATGTAGAGGCGGCAGGCGGGAGGGGGCGTGGGAAGGAGGCATGGCTCTGGGTGGGGCAGACCCTTCAAGGTGGGGGGGGATGACAAATGGGACGACCAATATTTAAGTCCAGCAGACAGGCTCCTTAAAAAATCAGTGTCAGGATGCGGGGTGGAAACTCGATTTGGGTAGGCTGAGGGGGAAAGGGAGTTAAGAAAGGCAAAACAATTAGACCGTGTTTTTTCAACGTTTGGAAATCAATGGAAGGAAAAAAGGAGCTGTTGCAAGATGATAGAGACAGAAGCATGTCCTCTCCTTCTAGAGCAAAGGATCCAGGGGGAGGAGGCAGCCGGTGAGAGGTGCTGGCCTGGGACAGCAGTGAGGGGTGGGGTAGGAAGGACAGCCTGGGTCTCAGTGGGGGTGGGGAGGGTGAGGTCACGGCCACGGGGTCTGGGACACTCGCCGCGGGGATGGAATCTGCCGGTCGGCCCAGACCAGGACTCCTAACCTGGAGTCCCTCCCAGCCTTGCTGGCCTCAAAAGGATTATGATCCAAGGAAATAACATATGTAAAAGCGCGCCACAGAGGGAGGGATTCTCAGGATTAAACAGGAGAGCTCCTGGTGCTGGGTAGGTGCTCAAGAAATACGGGTCGAAAGGCCTGAGTCCTGACCAGGAAGCCCCCCCGAGGAAGGGGGCCAGCTGCCCGGGTTTGGAAAGGCCTCCGGGCCCCCCGGGGCTGTTGCTGCTGCATCCCACTGCCACCGTCCTCCCCTTCCAGCTGCCCCAGCGCGTGCGGGCCCGGGGACCCAGGGCGAACGTCGGGACACCCACTTGCAGAGTGGACACCTCCACTGGCCCGTTGTCTTGTCCCACCAGGAAAAACTCCACCGTCACCGTCTTCTTGTCTGCACGCCGGGCAGCCCCGGAGCGGTGGGTGAAGAGCGGGAAGGCTCGGGCCAGGGCGCAGGCAGAGGCGAAGGCGTCCGAGCGCTCGCAGACCATCTGCAGCACAGAGAGGCAGAGCCGTGAGCGGGGGCAGACCCGCGGGAGCGACCCCGGGGAGGAGCTACACTCGGGACAGAGGGGCCCCAGCAGAGCCGCCATGCGGGGGCCTTCGCGGAGCCATCGTCCAGCCCTGGGAGAAAGAAAACATCAGCCACCAGATGCGGACTGCCTCCGAGGCGGGAAAGTAGGACGTGGAGGGGCGTGGGCTCGGGAAATCTGGGTCTGAGGCTCAGATCGACCACCGAACCTGATCTGGGGCAAATGGCCTGGTCTCTCGACCTCAGTTTCCCCGTCTGTAAGCAGGGGTGATGACGTCCTGGGCTGTGGCGGCTCGTCCACGTCGGAGGTCCTGCCAGCCCGGGTGCCCTGCCCGCACCGGGGCGGAGCTACGGGGACACCCGCTTCCCACGAGCACGGGGACGGCCGTGGGCACTCACCAGAATGCACCGATGGGTCCCGGGCGGCAGGCAGGTGCGCACCAGGCGGGTGACGAAGTGGGCGGCCGAGGGGCTGTTGTGCCGGCTCACCCTGGAGGGCAGGGCGGCCACGGTGGCACAGTTCAGGTACAGGGGGCAGCTGTCCGTGGGGTTGGGGTTGAGCGTGCTTAGAGCGGCCTGCCAGAGCTGGACGGGAGGGGGAGAGACGAGAGACAGGCGCTAGCCATCAAACAGTCCGCATGCCGGCGGCCGGGCCCTGCGCGGCGCTCGCCAGGCTAAACCGGCACTGCGGCAGCTTCCCCGGGGCACCCACGGTCCCTAATTAAGATGTGTGGCCTCTCGCTGCAGCTCAGCGTGTGTGTGTCTGCTGGCACGGTTCCACCCGTGTGGGATTAAGCCGTGGGGATTTAAAAGGCCAGGCTGGGCGCGCCGCGCTTCAAACGCGCGACCCCGCACCGCGCCGGGGTGGGCCCCAGCCAGGTGCCACCGGGAGGGCTTCCGGGAGCGGGCGGCCGGCTCCCCGGGCGGGGCCGCGGGGCCCCTCGAAGACAGCGCCTGGGGGCGGCTCCGGGGGGGAGCTCCCCCCCGCACCTCCCGGGCTGGCCTCGCGCCCCTGCGGGCGCCGGGCGGGGCCTCCGGGCGGCCGCGCGGCCCGCTCACCTCCTCGGTGACCCGGGGCTGCAGCTTCCCGCGGACGTGGCTCCAGGGCACGCGGTGCAGGTGGTGCAGCTGCCCCAGCAGCAGCAGCGGCCGGCTCTGCGGGTCCGCGTCCCCGGCGCTCGCCTGGAACTGCAGCCCCACGTTCGCCATCTTCCGCCGGCCCGCGCCCCCCGCCTGGCCGCCGCCCCGCTCCGCTCGGGCTCCGCTCCGGCCCGGCCTCGGCGCCGCCCCGGCCCTGCCCGGCCGCCCGGCCCCGCCTCCCCCCGCCGCTCCGGGCCGCTCGCGAGACGTGCAGGGCCCGCCCGGGGCGCGAGGGGGCGCCGGGCCGGCGGGGCGGAGCGGGCCGCCCTGACCCCGGGCGGGCCCCGGACCCCCGGGCAGGCCTGTGCCCCCGCCCCCGCCCCCGCCCGCGGGCCCCGAGCGGCAGCCCGGCCCCAGGCCCCGGTAGGCCCCAACCCCTGGGCAGGCCGCGATCCCCGGGGCGGGCCGAAAGCCGGCGGGCCCCAACCCCTGGGCAGGCTCCAAGGCCCGGCAGGCCCCGGCCAGGCCCGGCAGGCCCCAAGCCCTGCAGGTCCCGAAGTGGGTCCTGCCTCCAGAGTCAGGCAACAGCTCCCCGGGCAACCTTTCCTGGAAGGGGTCCTGGCCCCCAGCCCCCCCAGCCCCTGGTGGCCCTGACCTCCGGCAGGTCCTGAGCAGACCCAGGCCCAACCTGAAGTCCCCCACAGCGCTCCCACCAGGCCACAGTGTGCATGAGCCCCAAGCAGGCCCAGCTTCCTGCAGCGATCCTGGGTGACCCCTGCATGGGCAGGATGTGCCCTCACCACACCCCCAGACGCCTGTCAGGTTGGGATGGGCTTGGTGATGCCTGGATCGGTCCCAGCTCCTGACTTAGACGAGGCCCCGCTGCCTGGCATGCTGGGCAGTGTCCACAGTTCCTTCCTCCTCATTTAATGGGTTCCCTGCCACTGAGCAGGTCCCCACTATCTTGCAGGCACTGTCCTGGACGTGAGTCAGGTGTCAGGATGTGGGTTTCTACCCAGGTTACTGCTTCTGGGATGGCCAATTAGAAACTCAGGCATCGCCTGGACTGGTGGAGGGCCCTGCCCCCGGCCACCCCTTTGCAGGAAGGGTCATCTGGCAGCAGTCTGTGCAAGCTGCCCCCTACAGCCTCCCGGCCTGCCTGGGGAGAGGGGCGGAGACAAAGAGCGAAGAGGAGGGGGAGCACGGAGCCACCTGCCACTGAGGAGGGAAGGCTAGTTGAGAAGGGCACCTGGAGGGTGTTGGGGGCATGTGGTGGGTGGAGGGGCCCTGGGTGAGGGCAGAGGGGGCACCTGGTGGACGGCGGGGGTGCCCTTGGCAGGGGTCCTGGCTCCTGCTGTAACTCAGATGCCCGGTTCAGGGAGCCGTGACCCAGTTGAGGAAGCCCCACTCATTTAAAAATACAGATCCTGCCCACATCCTGATTGCTCAAGGGCCTGTTGGTACTCCCCTCTGTTACCTCTAGCTACTTCCATGTGCCACCCTTCTCATTTTGAGTTTCTTTTTCATTCTCAGCCTTAAAAAAATAGCGCCAACTCCCGAGCACGGCATCCAAGGCTTTTGCAAAGCCACTGATTTCCTAGCACGTCTCCCCCACTCCCTGATTTGCAACCCACCCACGAGCGCCAGCTTCTCCTTCTCTGGCCACTCTTCTGTGTCTCCCTGTCGGTCTGAGCCCCGGTCCCTGGTGCAGGGTAGTCGGTTCTGAGCCCCGGTCCCTGGTGCAGGGTAGGTGCTCAACAACATCCCCCGGGGCCAGAGAGCTTCAGCATTCTGAAGGCAGGGCTCGTGTCCCCTTTCTTCTGCAGGGCCTAGCACAGACAGGTGCCAAAAAAACAGTCGTTGAATGAGTGAAAGGAATTCCTTCGAAAACCCACAGCTTTCCCAACATGAAAGTCGACGCTAATTGGATCTTATTTTCCTCAAAAGATTTTTACAGCAGCTGAATGTTTTCACACATTTGTAAAGGGTACGAAGAGCATGTATGAAGATCTATCACTCTTTCTCCTGTTTGCAAATACGCTGCAGACACGCACAGGGCACTCCAGCAGTGGGGGGAGGCCGTGCGGGATCTTCTCGGAGGGTTGCCCTACCCAGTGAAAAGAGGACTTCCCCAGACCCACAGGGCAGAGGAAGGCATTGGGGGGGGAAGGGGGAGAAGCGGGGGAGGAGAGCAGAGACCCAGAGTGTCCACGGGGCTCCGCATCCTGTGGGTAAGAACCCAGGGCCCCAGAGAACAGGGAAGGAGTGGGCTGTGGGGGACCGCAAACCGGGGATTCACTCCACAGACTTGTGCTTGCTGAGGGAGGATCCAAGACGCATTTTGGCGAGCCGGGCCTGGCGGTTTTGAGTACAGAGAGTTGGAGGGGGGAGAGAAACGGTTGGTAGAGAGATCATTCTGGAGATTCTTTCCTTTCAGAATTCTTCCATATATAAGAATAGACCGAATAACCCCCACGACCCCAAGGAAGGATGAACGAGATGACTCAGTTCAACAAGCATTTATTGAACACTTATGATACACAAAGCAAAGGAAAATGTTGTTAAAAGCAGATAATCCTGATTTTAGTTCTAAGCACCCCCTTCCCCCCTCCGCTCCCGAGTCGAAGAAATCCAAACTAAACAGAACGCTAAGGAGTTATTCGACTTCCAATGCCTGCCAATTTCCTCAAGATGTAGCTTGTGACAGATACAAATATATTCCAGGAAAGTACTTTCCCCTTTGCACTGCAGACTTTAGAGACCTCAACATAAATAAGACAGGCAGCACTCTGTTTAGATAAATTTTTATGAAGGTATTAATCCACAGCTTAGTATATATTTCACTGTCAATGAAAAATCCACCTCAGTTTAATTTTCTTTAAAAAAAAATGAAAATTTAAAATAACTTACCAGATCTTTCATGCAACCCGAGAAGTAACTTCCGTTTTTGATGAGATGCGACTCATTCCGAATTCAACCGGACATTCAGACTTAGTAGTTGAAGAACAAGGCTTTAAAAACTGGAAGGAATCAGAATGAAGTCCCCAGGACTTATTAGGAAGCTTTCGGTACAGTTCACATTCTCGAACACGTTTCTGAGATCATATCGTTTGAGATGGCCCTGGGTGTACGGAGTGTGTATTTATATATTAATTTCGTGCCAGGAGAAACATCTCCGCTACTCTCTGCTTATTAGACCGATTGCCTCGAGATTCTCAGATTCCATTATTCTGATGTGAGAAACACTCATTCCCTTGCCGCTTCTTTCTGGGATTTTCACGCATTCCTTTATTCAATATATATTTGTTGAATATCAGTTTCTCAGAGCTCCAGTCCAGGTCAGGCTTTTGGGGATACATTGGCCGCGGGAGGAAATACAGCAGTAAAACTCAGCAAGCCAGTCCCTGGGAGAAGACTGAGCTTGGATTAAGCCATCCAAGGACGAGTCCCAGTGTCCCAGGCAGTCTGATCCCTGGCAAGGGAGTTGTCCACGCAAGGGCTCATAATACTAAAGGGCATAGTCCATTTGGACTGGTGGCAAGCTCACGTGCACACATAAAGTGTGCATGAGACGTACGCTGAGCCACGGAGTTTGAACTTGACCTTGTGGGTCACAAAACCAGTGGAAGGGCCGCCGTCAAGACGAACGTGAGATCGAGGTAGGGTTCGTTCCTGGTGGACAGTGATCGGCGGCTGCATCTGCCCTGAGGGGGCCGAGGCAGGCTCAGCTCCACGACCTCCCTCCACAGAGCAGCTGGCCTGGAGGTGAGCCCCCAGCGAAGAGGCAGGAGAGACACCTGCACGACCTCCCGGGACAAGTGCTGTGCTGGGGGTGTCCGCGCTTCCCTCGCCTGCGCATCGGGGGGGCCTTGGTTACACTTTGTGAAGTGCATCAGGCATGCCACCCAGAAGATTCGGGCTAAATGTTCCCTGAAGGGTTGAAAAAGAACCGGTTGCCATGAAAATCACATTTCTCTAGAAACTTTTTTGAAAAAATGCATTAACTTATTGAAACGTTGAAAAACCACTATAATGAACACTCGTTTGCCCTTTACCTAGGTCAGATGTGTCTCTGTGTGTGTCCATATATTTTTTCCTGCACTTTAAAGTTAGTTACATACACTTTAACCTTAAATACCTCAGTGTGTATCTATCTCTTAGGACACTAGCCCACAAAATCACAAGAATATCCTGATCATAGCCATGGAAAATTAACATCAAAACAATACTATTATCGAATACACAGTCCACATTGAAATTTGTTTGATTGTCCCCAAAATGTCCTTCATTGCCTTTTAAAAATCCAGAATCTAAATAAGGACCAGGTGTTCCGCTTGGTTGTCAATTCTCTTTGGTCTCCTTGAATCCAGAACAATCCCTGCCTTTGTCCTTCCTGACACTGAGGTGTGGCGTAGAAGGTCCCGAAGTCTGGATTTGTTGGATTGTTTCCTTATGATTACATTCGGGCTAAACACATTGTGTTTGCCACCGTACCTCACCAGGAGCCACAGAACCCATGTGTCTCGTGTTACTGGCCAAGGTGGGCTATTTGGTTCAGGCCGGGTTGGCCGGATCTCTTCACAGCAAAGGGCCATTTCCCTTTTCATAATTAATGGCATTCAGCTCAGTCTCCTCTTTAAAATGCACAGAGGCTCGGAGGCCGTGAGAGAGTTCTGTCTCCTGACCTCTCCCCCAAAGTTTCATAGCCAGTGATGACCTCTGCCTGAATCAAATACTGCTTTTGCAACAGGGTGATTTTCTACCTGGATCACCCGTTCAACCACCTGAAGTCCTGAGTAGAGCCTCCCTGCCTCCCCTCGGCCCCAGGACAGGCTCACATAATCTGTGGGGTCTGGGGCAAAAAGGAAAGCGCAGAGCCTCGTTTTCAAGAGAGAATTTCACGATGGTGGCAGCGGAGGATTAACCCGAAAACAGGCCATGTCACTGCGGGCAGTGGCCGCGGGCTCCGGGGCCGGCCTTGCCCCAGTCTTGTCCCTGTGTTTGGCTCTTTCGTGGTCACTGGCCCCACTCGGGCCAGCCAGGGCCCCATCAGGCTGGTGCCCATGTCTTTCTCACGTGTTCCTGTTGGTCTCTGAGGACTCCTGTCCTCCTTGGAACATTAAGATGGTCCCCAGGCTCACTCTGCTCCGTCCTTGCCCCAAATCAAGAGTCAGCCGGGCCTCACAGGAGCCCTGGTCTCCCTGCAGTCGGGGGCATGGTTGTTTAG